TGTTGAGTTAGATTACATATGTGAGTTTACCGTCAAATGTATTATTTTTCTACAACACAACAAATTTTCATTTAATAAATAGTTATAAAAATTTTATATTAAGACAAATGAATAATTTCAGTAAAAAAACATTTTTCCTTCTACACTCATTTTACGGACTGGAACCGTAACTCTTAATCTAATAAGTAGAACAATTTTTGGATTTGTACGCTTTTTAAATCGATTCATTTGTAATTTGGCATACTTAAATTGTCTAATGCATATAAAAATATTGTTGGCACCCAAATCGATTGTGGATGTTTTTTCATCTTGGTATTTTTTGTAGCAATGTTAACACAACTTTAATATTTCTATGTATGCAACCCATAAAACTGATTTCAGGTTTAAAGAATCAATGTTTCTATAGACAATTGTTAAATCAGAAAACTCACTACATGCGCCACCCATTTCCGAGGAAAATATATTTAAAAATTTTATTAGTTTTTTATATTTAAAATTTGCCATGAAGAAATCTAAAATTCGTTACACAAATCAAAAAAATTTGGAACTTCATCAATAGTAAAAAGATCAATACTTTGAATAATTTGAAAATAAATTGCGTTTTTTATTTTTCTTATGCTTTAAGTGAATTATAGAATCATAACCATGATTAACAAAATGTTCAATGAAAAAAAAGATTAAAACATATATATAGGCAAATAGTTTTTTCCAAAAGATGCAACCTTTAAAAATAACTATAAAACGATTATTTTCTTATGCTTTAAGTGAATTATATAACCAATAAACATGATTAACAAAATGTTCAATAGAAAATTAAAACATATATATAGGCCAAACGGTTTTTTCAAAAGACGCAACCTTTAAAAATAACCATAAAACGGTTATTTTGAAAAGACGTAACATTTGAAAATAACCATAAAGAGGTTATTTCAAAAAGACATAACTTTTGAAAATAACCATAAAACGGTTATTTCGAAAATACACAACTCTTCACGAAATAGCTATAATGAAAAGACACAAGTTTTGACAAAACGGTTAAAATAAAAAAACGCAACTCTTGACCAAACGGCTTTCTCGAAAAGATGTAACTCTTGCAATTAACTATAAAGCGATTTTTGTCGAAAAGACGCAACCCTTGGTTTTTTCAAAAAAACTCAACCTAGAATAAACCTACAAATACAATACAGTTTTCCGAGAAAATTTT